TCAATTGTTGCAACATAGTTGCAACATATGTTATAACATTATATGTTGCAACATATTAATTATGGTTACCATCTTTACATAAGCCTCACTATGAAGATAAGGCCTGTTTACTTTATATTGATATAGATTCACTCATCATACTTATTGAAATAGAGGATATTTATAAAGATCAAGTAAAAAGACCAGACATTTTTGATCTAGATTATTCAGGTAATTTATTTCTAATGAAAGATAAGACAAAAATAGAAACAATAAAACAGAATGTAACTTTAAAGTCAAAAATGTATTCTGTTCTTTTAGCAAGCTATGATCCTAAAACTTCTGATAACTCAGATTCTGAAGACCCTAAAAAGAAGTATAGTATCTAAAAGGTAAAGGATATAAAGAAATATGTGATCAAAAGGGAGTTTTAACATGACAAATTCCTAGAATGTCTTAGGAAAAAGAAACTAACTCAGCATGATATGTATAGTTACACAATTATGATCATTAAATATATCTAGAGAGAATAAATAAGATAAGGTTGAATTCATATAATAATAAGCGTTAGATCTTACTTAATAGAATTTGAACTTTCTTATATGAATATTGGTAAATTGGATTATATAAACATCTGGTAGTATCTGAAATATCTTCTGAGAAAATAGAAGAAAGGCTATGAAAGTTAGACTTCAAGTCAAGGAATAGATGTTTTATAACAAATATTTTTTTCAATAAAAATTAACAAAGAATATAATTTATTAATTAAAGTTTTTCTATCGTTATAGTAGAAATAATATAAAAATGGTCAATTATAAAGATATAGAACGTACACAAGTTAAAGTCATAAAAATAGTATTACGAAAGGGCAAAAAAATGATAATCTTACAAAAAATTATGAAGACTATCTAAAGAAACTACGAGCTAAAAAGGATCTAAATAACTATATTAAGATACTTACAGTAAAGATATTCTCTAAGAAAGAAACATATACTAAAAAGCTGAAAAATTATTATAAAAGGTATAAAGATAATGATCTATTTAGTAGTTAAAAGAAATTATATGAGTTTTATTATTATATAGCTAAGAAGGAAAATTAGAAAAGATCAGATGATGAAATAGAGCAGATGTTCAAAGCAATAGTAATCTAGTCATCTTAGTAAATAGTTCATATATGTAAGTAGAAAAACAAGTTATAATGCTAATATAATATTATAGATTTTATTTAGACATGATAAATATTCAGTTATTTTTTTTTTAAAAATAGAAAAATGACTTCTAAAATCTTAAAAGCATTGTTGAGAAATATATTATCTATATGATGCTATAACACCTGAAAAAATCAAAGAATCATTTGAGTCCAGTTTACCTGAAGTAATAATAGAAAGATAGTTATATCTAAAAAAAGAAAGACAAATTCTATAAGTCAAAAAAGGCCAAGTGGACTCAAATAATAGAGTAATTAAATTGAATAAATTATTATATATAGCTAAAAAATTGAGAAATAATTAGTGTAAGTTTACAAGTAAGTTTACTACTAATCTTACACAGTATTTGCCATTATACAATGCAGCCAAGTATGATTATACATATGATAGAGCAATTGGTTTTATCACTATCAAAAATATAAAATAAAACAGGGTTGTAAGCATATATAATTATCCTGAGCTATATGAATATCTGGATTCAGATGCTTATCATTAATATTATTTTTCGATTAAAGATATAAGCTTATATATACTACCTGGAAATAAGTTTGTACGATTTTGAAAAATTAGTAAATAAATTTGTGTAGTTTTGAAAAAATAGTTTATTATCATTTTTTTTTTAACAAAATATTAATATCTAGTTAGCTAACCATTATTGGCAATATATGTTTCTATTCTTTGAGGTATACTATCAATTAATTTTAAGTAAGTTTCTTGCAGAATTTTTTTCCATTTTTCTTTTAATTACACTTCTAAATCTGCAAGTTTTTTAGGCAGATCTGAATGGTTATGCAATAAACGTTCAAGATGATTTCAAAGATGCTCAATGAGATTCAAATCTGAAGATTGAGCAGGCCAGTTAATTAACATTTTAATTTTTTTTTTAGAAATCCATGCTTTAACATTATTAGCTGTATGAATGGATGCATTATTGTGTTGAAATTTTTAAGATCAGTTATAAAACTTTGAATCAATAAATGGCAACAGGTTATCATCTAAGATTTTTATATAATCATACCAATTGATTATTCCTTCTATTTTTATTAAAGGACCCAATCCTTTGCCTGAAAAACATTTCTAAACCATGACTCTGCCACCATCATGTTTAATAGATGAATTTAGGTTTTCAATATTAAAATGAGTGTCTGGTTCACGCCAAACTCGAGAAGGACCATCATTACGAAAAAGAGTAAACTTTAATTTGTCGCTCTATATGACATTTCTCCATTGTTGTACTATCCAATTTTGTCTTTTTAAGTACCATTCTAGCCATTTTTAGCGTTGATTTTCATTTAAAAATATTTTTTTGCAGCTCAATAAAATTGTATCCAATTTGATGCAAATTCTTCTGAATTGTTTTGGTACAAATATCTTGACCAGTTGTTGCTGAAAATTTCTTTTGTATTATATCAGCTGAAGCTTTATTAT